CGATAATCTTTAGACCAAATAGGTCGATAAATACGAATTTAATGATGAAATTTTAAAATCTGCGTCCCAAATATACTCCTGATACCAAGTTTTATAAAAATCCGTTAATTTCTTAAATTTTTCAATATTTTTGATGGTCGTATTAGATCCGCCATTTTGAATTTTCAAAATCCGATTTGAGATTTGTATTCAGCATACAGAAAAACTCTTTGGTATTAAGTTTTACAAAAATCCGTTAATTTCTTAAATTTTTAAATCTTTGGCGGCCATATTGGATCCGCCATTTTAGTTTAGACTTATGTGACAGTGCACAGATAAACAGAGTACTCGAAAGTGTTAATTGGAAAAGAAAAACGTCGAATAAATAATCGCTACACTTGAATAATTACCGTTTTTATTATTTTTTTTCGGTTTTCTGAAATTTTAAGTATGATCCAATTGAATTTGATAATTTTGCCACGCGCCATTGGAAAGCTTACATTTTTCTGTAAATTTTAAGATTTTTTCAAAAATTTTTAGATTAAATAGAAAATGGGCAGCATGGATGTAAAGTTGAAAAAGAATGCCCCGTATATATGTATATAAGCTTATTTATATATATTATAATTATACTTATAATATACCTTATAGTTTAAAAATTTCGTAGTAATTTAGTGGAATGTAATAGTATGTAGAATCGCAGTATATTAAAATTATTGAAAAAGAGTAAACTGTACTAAATTTTATATTTCATTTCATTGTCAGTCAAGTTGGGCCAAGAAGGTAGAGTTAGGGTAGATATATGTTGAATAGATTGATTTATTCACTGTTTTCGTTTCATAAATTATTTTCCCGTGGTCACTACAAGCAAAACTTCAAAGTGTAATATGCGCTGATAGCTAACTTGCATATGACAACGCGCTGCGCACGAAATGCAGCGATTATCTATAAAAGTGTAATGTGGAAGTGATGCTTTAGCAACAATTTTAGTTAACTGTTCTTTCTCAAATATGTAATAACATGTCATTTTTATATTTATTTTGCGACTATGCACAACACAAATGCGGTATAAACAATGCGTCATGCAGCGCGACGCATATAATGTGATACTGATAACTCATTTTTGAAAGATGCGATTTCGGAACATAATAAAATCATATATGGTTAAATTCAGCGTAAAAAATGCTACAACTTTTGTCATTACAAAAATTTTGAAATTTGAAAAAATAATAACAAGGGGTAGGGTAAATTAAAAAAATTACATTTTTTGAAAATCCAATTACACAGTTATAAAGCCCATTACAAGCCGTACAACTTCTATTTGAAACATTTTTTTGTATTGCCTACGGTTTTGGCGATAGTTACATACAAAGAAAAAACTCGTTTTTTTCAAAAGGGTGTTTCACCCCTTAAATTTGAGTTAGGGCCGCTATAAAAAAAATACGTGTCTCCTCAAATTGTATGTTTTACAACATATTTTGAGGAGAATCAAATCGAGAGGGGACACTTGTGAACGTTCTTTTGTGAGTTCAGAACGTAGGTACATTCGACGTTCCTATGCACTATTACAATATAAGGTCGATGTCGAATGCAAAAGAAAACGTTCTTATTAGTTATTATGAAAGAAAACTTTATTATACCATCAAAAGCAAGCGAGAGAAGAAGAAGTAAAAAAAAAGAATGCATGCGCTTGGCATAGATCGATTTATCGATTATACATCACAGAAAAGTAAAAGCGCGAGATTCAAACAAGACTTAACACTCCCACTAATTGAGCGCTCTTTTCCTTTTAAACATAAAATTGCTTATACGTACATATATAACTTAAATTCTCGTATACATATTGCGCATTAATTACATCTAGACGCTTGTTACGCCAATTTCTGTACGTAAAAACAGGAATTGATCACGAGGGATCGCCTTTGTTAAAATGTCTGCAAGCTGATTTTTACTGCAGACATAATGTACATCTATATCACCACAAGTTAATTTTTCGCGTATATAATGATAACGAATGTCCACGTGTTTTGTTCGTTTATGAAATTCCGCGTTGCGTATCAACTTTAGGGCGCTTTGATTGTCAATAAAAAGTGGTATTGAACCTTCCAACGGTTCCTTTATGTCTCGTAGTAGTTGACGTATCCATACAGCCTCTCTTGTTGCACAGGAAGCAGCAATATATTCTGCCTCTGTTGTTGATAGAGATACAGCTGATTGACGTTGACTACTCCAAGTTACTGATCCATTACTCAACTTGAAGATGTAGCCTGTGGTTGACCTTCTTGTATCCATATCGTTGGCGAAATCAGAATCTGAGTATCCTTTTATTATGTTTGGTGCTTCTATTTTCGTATACATTATTCCATAATGTTCTGTTTCTTTAAGATATCTCAATATCCTCTTCACTGCATTCCAGTGTATTTCGTCATATTTATCAAGGTATCTACTTACAACTCCCACTGAAAATGCAATATCTGGTCTGAATACAATTGCAGCAAACATCAAACTGCCAACGGCTTCTCTGTATGGAACTTTCTTTTTCTCTCGGAATTTTGTTCCATTGTTGTCGTCTGAGAATAAATGCACATGATTATCAGCTGGTGTGGAAACTGTTTTTGCATCATCCATATTAAATTTCTTGATTATTTTCCTGATGTAGTTCTTTTGGCTGACAAATATAGACCTTTTGTTCTTGTCATGTCTTTTTTCCATCTCAATGAAACAGCCTACGGTGCTTGCTGTAATCTCGAAGGTTGTTTGCAGTTGAGCTATAATATTTTGAATAGTTTCCTTATCGCTTCCCATAATTAGTCCATCATCAACATACAGAGCAAGTAATATTTTGGACTTATTGAAAGTTCCTTGGTAGACACATTTGTCTGCTTCGCTTTGCATAAATCCAATATCCTTTATAAAAGTATTAAAGCGTTGATTCCAGCATCGTGAAGCTTGTTTAAGGCCATACAATGCCTTATTGAGTTTGCATACCATGCCAGATTTAACTGCTATTCCTTCTGGTGGTGATATACAGAGTGTCCCATTATAAAACATCCACGCAAATTACTCCGAAGATAAGGGTGATGAGGCTTGTAAATTACAGTATTTTGACATAAAATACAAAATATCTTGTAAAACATTCAATTTTTGGGAATCTTACCTTAATACTTTTATGCATAAAATAATGAGACGAATCAATTGATACAAAGAAAACACATAGTTGCTTTCAAGAATAAATATGTAATTTGCAACATGCAACTGCATACTTTTTTTTAAAACCAATGTGTTTTCTTTATACCAATTGATTCGTCTCATTATTTTATGCATAAAAGTATTAAGGTAAGATTCCCAAAAATTGAATGTTTTACAAGATATTTTGTATTTTATGTCAAAATACTGTAATTTACAAGCCTCATAACTCGAAAAGTACTTAATAAAAAATAACTTTATTATAGTGTTTTGAAAAGCTCTTGACACCAGCTATTAGATTTTGAAATCAAAAAATAGGGGTTTCTAATTTAAAAAACCTAACCTAACCTTGAAATGACCTTGAAGGTCAAGCTCAAGGTCAAATTGAAGGTCACCGTTGAATTCCTCGTTAAAATTACTTCAGAAATGACCTTGTACCTTTTCAAAATACCTTACATGAGAAAATATTTAGCCGTCCCGGGACTTAATTGACACCCTGTATATATATATATATATATATATATAACTAAA